GAGACAGGGACAGGACCTGACCCCAGGTCCCAGCCTCTCCCCCCCCGCCAGGCTCATCCCTCCTGCCCCACACCTGGAGCAGACTAAAGCTTTTGTGGGGGGCTCAGCTCCCCTCTCAGAGCCAAATCTGAGACACAGCAGTGTGTGTGTGTCCCCCCCCCACTCCCGAGGGGCACCGGACCCTCCACCAATACCTGCTGCCTCCAGACCAAGGCCAGGTCAATGGGTTATAATCATCTCCCTGCTGCTCCGTAATCCCCCTTTGTCTCCTATTCACAAGCATCACTCCCTGCCCTGCGCGGGTCGGGGGGCTGCCGCCGGCCCCCCCCAGCCCCAGGGGAAGGATGCTGCCGGGGCAGCGGGCACAAGGCCTGGCAGCCCTGGGGAGGGCGGGGGAAGGAGAACCCCCTGGCCAGGGTTGAGGATGCTCCCACAGTCGTCCCCCCCCCACCCCAGCCCCGTCACCCTCAGCCCAGCCAGGAGTGCAAAATATCCTTTATTGGGGAAGGATGGCACCAAAACAGCAGCTTCCCGGGTTCTTCTGCACCTGGGAGGGAAGGAGAAAGGAGCTGAAACACAGACACCCCAGGCTGACCCTGCCTGGGTCCTTCCCAACCCCACTCAGCCACGAAATGGGGGGGGGGGGGGGGCACACACAGTTCCCCTCCCCACCTCACAGGGACCCTCGTACCTGGCCGGGCTCCGCTGCAGCTCCTCCTGCTACTTCTTGGCTGCTGCCTTCCTGCCCCGGCCAGCTCCTCGCCCCTGCGGGGACGGGATGGGGCTGAGCGTGGGGAACCCCCAGCCTGGTCTTGTGCTTCTCCCCCCATTTTTGGCTTCAGCAGCCGCCTACCATCGGGCATCAGCCCCTTTCCCTCCCCAAGAGCTCCCAGCCCTGGTCAACCCACAAGCCTGGTTGGGGTGGGGGTAGCCAGGAGATGTAGAGGGACACCCCAGCCGGCTCCTACCTTGCTGGGAAAGGGATCCTCGGGGGAGATGTAGTTCCTGCTCGGGAGAGAAAGAGAGGGCTGGGATTAGGGGTGCACGGTCCCAGCAGTGTGGGGGATCCCCTGCTCCACGGCAGGGCTGCCGTGTACTTTCCCCCCCCCCCCCCCCATCATACTCACAGCTCATCCTCCTTCTCCAGCCTCCTCTTCTAGGGGAGAGAGGAAGATGTAGGCGGCGGGGCCAGGCACACGCAGGCAGGATGGCGACGTGCGACGGAGCCTGTGACTCTTCCTCCCCAAGGGAGGAAGATCACGGCTCACCTCCGTTCCAGAGGGGGCTTTGGGGCGCGGTGGGAGCTTGGAGGAGCCTGTCCCCAGGATCAGGGCACGAGGAAGCTCCTCAGGGGAGGAGGCTGCACCCCTGGCCCCCCCCCCCCCCCATCCACCCCCATCCCCAGCCAAGGGGGGGTGCTTACCTTGGCGACACTGCCCTTCTTGGCAGCTTGGCCCTTGAGGGGCTTCTCGGGGGACTCCTCGGCATCCTCATCCTCCTCCTCTTCCTTCTCCTCCTCCTCCTCCCAGGACAGGTTGAACATCACTGCGGGAGAGGTTGGCTGGGCCCCCGCTCCCGGGCTGGGGTCACGGGGAGGGCTGGGACCCCCGTACTTACTGGAGACGTGCTGCCCGCTGATGTAGACGGGGCCGGAGCCGGCTCTCAGGCGGAAGGTGACCGGAGGAGTCAGCTCCACTCCCACCAGGGTGGCCTGGAAGAGAGGAAGGTGGCAGCACCCACCAGCAGCAGCCCCCACCCGTGGGGAAGCCCCCCCCCACCCCGGGCACTCACCATGGGCAGCACGGAGGGCTTCAGGGTGGCCAGGGGCACCGGGGGACGAGCACCCCCCTCCTCGGCCGGCACGATCTCCACCACATGGAACTCATCCTGCGCCATCTCCCCCAGGCAGACCTTCAGGGGGCAAGAAGATCATTCCTTCCCCCCCCCCCGCCCCATAACACCCCTCACCCATGCCCCCCCCCCACCCCGCGGTTTTGGGGAGGGAGGGGGGGGGACATAGGGACCACTTACTGTCCGCAGGGCCAGCTGCTGCTCGCCCTGCCACTCCTCCGGCACCTGGAAGGTGTAGGAGTTCCGCTCGCTGCTCAACTCACACCCTGCAGATATCGGGGTGTCAGAGCGGGGCTACCCCGAGTTGGAGGGGGGTGTGTGTGTGTGGGGGGGGGTGTACAGGGGAGGGGGAGCAGCCCAGTGCAGCCCTGCTACTGGGTGGGGGGGTGTCCCCGGTGCTTACCCCAAATCAGGGACACAGGTTTCTCAGATTTGCTGTCGACATCAACGCTGTCCGTAAGGGACATGGCTCCAGGATCCCTCAGCCTGGGGGGGGGGGGGGGGGGGCACCGATCTGCGGGGATCCCCAACTCCAGGAGAGCTTTCCCCAGCCCCCCCCCCCCAGCTGCAGCCAGGACACCTCAGCCCCCCCCCGGCTCCTCCCAGCAGCGAGGCAGCCAGTCACCGCAGCACTCGAAAACTCACCCCCAGGCGCTCAATTTAATTATCAGCCCAAGAGGAACCTCAAGTGCACCAGCACCCCCCAAACCCAGGCAGCTTATAGAGGCGGGGGAAGCCCCCCCCCCCACCCACGCAATCACCCACCCACTCACCCACCCACTCAACACACCCACCCACCCCTTTCTGTCTTAAATAACAACAGCCCTGCGGGGGCAGTTAAGACTCCTCAGGTGTGTGAGCCACAGCCCGGAGCCTTGCCCCCTCCCGCGGCCAAGGAGCAGAGCCCCCCCCCCCCAAATCTCACCCCTGGAGGTGGGTGTCCCCGCGTTGCCCCCCTGTCCCCGTAGCACCCGCCACCCCCAAAATTGCAGCCGGAGGAACATCGTCCTCGTAGCGGGAGTGCCAGCCCGTGGCGGGGGGGTGGTGAGGGGGACAAGGGGGGGGGGGGGCTCCGGTGTGGGGGGGTGTGTCCCCACCCCGCTGGGGGCACAGCCCCCCCTCCGCGGGGGTCCGCAGTGCCACCCCCCCCCCACCCGGCTGCCTGCCCCGTGGGCACCCGGCAGCTCCGGGGTGACAAGGGCTCAGCTGGGATGTGCCACCGGGCCACGCCATGGGCCACCTCGGGTGCCCACGGGCCACCGTGCCCTGTCACCTCTGCCGTGTGCCACCTTGTACTGCCACTGGCCACCATGCCCTGCCATGTGCCACCTTGGGTGGCCACAAGCCACCGTGCCCCACCATGTGCCACCTTGTACTGCCACTGGCCACCGTGCCCTGCCATGTGTCACCTTGGGTGGCCACGAGCCACCGTGCCCCACCATGTGCCACCTTGTACTGTCACTGGCCACCGTGCCCTGCTGTGTGCCACCTTGAGTGGCCACAAGCCACCGGGCCACGCCATGGGCCACCTCGGGTGCCCACGGGCCACCGTGCCCTGTCACCTCTGCCGTGTGCCACCTTGTACTGCCACTGGCCACCATGCCCTGCCATGTGCCACCTTGGGTGGCCACAAGCCACCGTGCCCCACCATGTGCCACCTTGTACTGCCACTGGCCACCGTGCCCTGCCATGTGTCACCTTGGGTGGCCACGAGCCACCGTGCCCCACCATGTGCCACCTTGTACTGTCACTGGCCACCATGCCATGCTGTGGGTCACCTCGGGTGCCCACGGGCCACCATGCCATGTGGCACCTTTTACTGTCACTGGCCACCGTGCCCTGCTGTGTGCCACCTTGGGTGCCCACGGGCCACTGTGCCCTGTCACCTCTGCCGTGTGCCACCTTGTACTGCCACTGGCCACCGTGCCCCGCCATGTGCCACCTTGGGTGGCCACGAGCCACCATGCCCCACCATGTGCCACCTTGTACTGTCACTGGCCACCGTGCCCTGCTGTGTGCCACCTTGAGTGGCCACAAGCCACCGTGCCCTGCCATGTGCCACCTTGGGTGCCTACAGGCCACCGTGCCCTGCTGTGAGCCAACTTGGGTGGCCATGAGCCACCGTGCCCCACCATGTGCCACCTTGTACTGTCACTGGCCACCGTGCCCTGCCGTGTGCCACCTTGGGTGCCCACGGGCCACCGTGCCCTGTCACCTCTGCCGTGTGCCACCTTGTACTGCCACTGGCCACCATGCCCTGCCATGTGCCACCTTGGGTGGCCACGAGCCACCGTGCCCCACCATGTGCCACCTTGTACTGTCACTGGCCACCGTGCCATGCTGTGGGTCACCTCGGGTGCCCACGGGCCACCATGCCATGTGCCACCTTGTACTGTCACTGGCCACCGTGCCCTCCTGTGAGCCGCCTTGGGTGCCCACGGGCCACTGTGCCCTGCCGTGTGCCACCTTGAGTGGCCACAAGCCACCGTGCCCTGCCATGTGCCACCTTGGGTGCCTACAGGCCATCATGCCCTGCTGTGAGCCAACTTGGGTGGCCATGAGCCACCGTGCCCCACCATGTGCCACCTTGTACTTACTGTCACTGGTCACCGTGCCCTGCCATGTGCCACCTTGGGTGGCCACGAGCCACCGTGCCCCACCATGTGCCACCTTGTACTGTCACTGGCCACCGTGCCATTCTGTGGGTCACCTCGGGTGCCCACGGGCCACCATGCCATGTGCCACCTTGTACTGTCACTGGCCACCGTGCCCTCCTGTGAGCCGCCTTGGGTGCCCACGGGCCACCGTGCCACTGCATGTGCCACCTTGCACTGTCACTGGCCACCGTGCCCTGCCGCGTGCCACCTCAGGTGCCCACGGGCCACCGTGCCACGCCATGTGCCACCGTGTAGTGTTAGTGGCCACCGTGCCATACCGCGTGCCACTTTAGGTGCCCACGAGCCACCGTGCCCCGCTCTGTGCCACCTCGCACTGTCACCGGCCACCCTGCCCCGCCGGGTGTTCCCCCGCCCCGCCCCGCGGGTGTCCCCGTCCCCCGTGGGCGCAGGCGCGCGTGGGCGGGGCGGCGGGGCGGCTTCCGGCAGCGCAGGGGCTGGAGATGGCGATGGCGGGGCTGGTGGGGCCGGGGGGGGGGGGGTTGAGGGGGGGTCGGGATGGGGGTGGGGGTCCCCCGGCCGCCCCCTCAGCAGCTTCTCCCCGCGCAGGGACCCGGCGAGGCCGCCGCGGCCGCTCACGCCCTGTCGCTGCCGGCCGAGGCCTTCGGCAACGATGTGAGTGCGGGGGGGCCCCTGGCCTGGGGGGGGTCCCTGTCCTGGTGGGGGTCCCTGTCCTGGGGGAGTCCCAGCCTTGGGGGGGGTCCCTGTCCTAGGGGGGTCCCAGCCCAGTAGGGTCCCAATAGTGGGGGAGAGGGGGGGGTTGTCCCCTGTCCTGGGGGGGGGTCCCAGTCTTAGGGGGGGTCCCTGTCCTGGTGGGGGTCCCTGTCCTGGGGGGGGGGGCCCAGCCTTGGGGGGGTCCCTGTCCTGGGGGAGTCTTAGCCTTGGGGGGGGGGGGTCTCTGTCCTGGGGGGGTCCCTGTCCTGGGGGAGTCCCAGCCTTGGGGGGGTCCCTGTCCTAGGGGGGTCCCAGCCCCGTAGGGTCCCAATAGTGGGGGAGTGGGGGGGGTGGTCCCCTGTCCTGGGGGGGGGGGGTCCTAGTCTTAGGGGGGGTCCCTGTCCTGGGGGAGGTCTGACCCCAATGCTGGGGGAGATGGGGGGGTGTCCCTTGTCCTGGGAGGGGTCCCAGTCTTAGGGGGAGTCCCTGTCCTGGGGGGGTCCCAGCGCCGAGGGAGGAGGGGGGGGTGTCCCTTGTCCCCGGGGGGGTGTCCCAGCCTTGGAGGGTCTCAGCCTTGGGGGGGGTTCTTAGCCCAGGAGTGGCTGTCGCAGTCCTGGGGTTGGGGGGCAGTCCCAGCACCAGTAAGGTCCCAGTGCTGGGGGGGTGGGGGGGGGGTCCCTGTCTGGGGGCTGTCCCAGTCCTGGGAAGGGAGAGGGGTCCCAGCCCAGTAGGGTCCCAGTCCCGGGGCGGGGGGGAGGTCCTAGCCTTGGGGGGGGGGGGTCCCAGCCCCAGCGGGTTGTCCCAGTCCTGGGAGGGGGGATCCCTGTCCCAGGGGTGTGTGTCCCAATCCTGGGAGAGGGGGTTCCCTACACCGGGGGGGGGGTGGTGGTGGTGGTGTTCCAGTCCTGGGGGGGCCCCCAGCACCTTGGGGGGGTGCCAGCCCCCAGAGGGGGGTCCCACACGGAAGGGCTACTTTGGGGGTTTCTAGGTCCCTAGCATCACCCGTGAACCCCAACTGCAGCTGTACCAGGGGGTCTGTCTGGCCCCAGACCCCCACCCCATCCCCATATCCGCCCCCCACCACCACGAGGACCCACCCAGGAGGCTCAGCCCCCCCTGACCCCCCCCTCCTGCCTCCGCAGCCCCGCGTGGAGCTGGCTTGGGCCATGAAAGCCCACCAGCACGCCCAGGTCTACTTCAACGTAAGTCCTGGAGGGAGATATGGGGGGGGGTGTCAGAAGGGTGGTGGGACTTGTTGCGGGGGGTGGGGGTGGGGGTGTGTCCCCTGTTAATTTTTAATTTCTGTGCAGCTCATCTCCTCCGTCGACCCCAAATTCCTGAACCTCACTAAAGTCGACGACCAGATCTACGGCGAGTTCAGGAAAACCTTCAGGGATCTTAAAATCGACGTGCTCGACCCAGAAGAGCTCAAATCGGAACCGGCTAAGGAGGTATGGGGGGGCGGGGGGGGGGACACACACAGGTGAATTTTGCCCCCCCCCCCCCCCGACACCTTCTTCAGGGCTTTGCTGCCGCTTTTCTGGGCAGAAGTGGCGCCCGTTCTGCCTGCGGTTCGAGGGGGTGGTGGAGGATTTCAACTACGGGACGCTGCTCCGCCTGGACTGCCGCAAGGACTACACCGAGGAGAACACCATCTTCGGTGAGGGAGGGCCGGGGGCACCCCCCCAAACCTCCGCCCCCCCCCCCCAAAACCTCCGCCCCACACCTGCTCTTTTTAAGTTTTTCCTCTCTCTCCTTTTAGCCACCAGAATCCAGTTTTTCGCCATCGAAATCGCTCGGAACAGGGAAGGGTGTAACAGCGTCGTCTACAGCAGCACCAGGGAGCTGGCGGAGTGAGGATGAGGAGGGGGGGGCAAAGAGCCCCCCCCCAGCCCCCTGTTCGGGCAGGCGGGGCAAGAACAGGGCTGTTCCCTGCTCCTCCGGGTTCAGACTCCCTTTGCAGACTGTAAATAAATTTTTTTTTTTTTTTTTTTAAAAAAAATATATATAAAATTCCTTGTGCTGCAGGTGTTGTTCCCTAGAACCGACCACAACCTCTGAGTATTGCTGAACCCACTTGGATTTTTGGCAAAACCTTTGCCCGCACCACTCAAGGGTCCAACGCCTGTGATCTCCCCACACAAATCAAAAATGATTTTTTTTTTTTTTTCCCACCCACTTTATTTGGAAAAAAAATCCCCCCCCCCCCACCCCAGCAGGCAGGGGATGCTCAGGCAGACACGGCTCAGTAGAAACCATTGAAGTTTTATTTGCAGTCACAATGCTTACACTGTATGCAGCAAACACCCTTACAAGTCAACCAGCAATCTGCTCACGCGAAAAAGGACCCAACACACAATCGCCAGAGGAAAGAAAAACAAAACAAAACAAAACAAAAAAAAAAGGGGGGAAAAATAATAAAATTAAGAGTAGGTGGTGGCTGGGAAAAGAAACTGCAGCCCTAAGGACTGAGTGGGGTAGAGCTGAGCAAAAGGATGCACACGACTAGCAGCAACAGTAGTGGAAAAAGTACAAGGCCAACAGGTTCCCTCCCCCATCAGCTTTCCTCTGTAAGTCAATTTTTATATCCAAAACATTTATTATGGTGACTTAGAAAAAAATGGAATCGTTTGAAAGGGGGGGTGTTAAATACTTCATGCTAGGCAAACCTTGTTATTAAGAACCCTCCGAGGTGGCAGGTTGAGCTGCAGCAGCCCCGCGCTGCCGCCGGCTCCCCCGCAGCTGAGATGGGGGGAGCGAGGGGGGGGGAAACACAACGAAAAAACACAATAAAAAAAAAGAAAGAAAAAAAAAAAAAGGAGAAAGAGCGAGGAGAGTGCCGCCGGGCACGGGGCAGAGCGGGGGAGGCGAGGGCCCTGCGAGAAGCAGGTTGACGAGGGGACAGCGCCTACTGCTACACCGGGGGGAGGAGAGACACCCACGAGCAAGCACGAATGAAAGATCACGCGGCATGGCTTAGAGTTCCTAATAACAAGGGCAAGACGGTAACAGGAAGTTGTGATTTCCAGGGGCTTAATAAGAAAAAATATACATTTGGAATTTTACAATGCCTTTTTTTTTGTTGTTGTGGTTTTTTTTTTGTTTGTTGTTTTTTTTTTTTTTTTTTGTAATTTTTTTTTTTTTTTCTTGCTTCTCTCTACACTTGTCACTAAATATATCTCTGCACTTTCACACACCCACCCCCTCGCCCAGTAAAGCTTCTGCAGGACACGCTTTCCTCACTCGCATACACAACCCTCACGCCAGCACCGGTGCACCAAGACTCTGTAAAAATTTCAATCACACTTTTTTTTTTTTCTTTTTTTTCTTTTTTTCTTTTTTTCTTTTTTTTTTTTTTTTTTTTTTTTAAACTGAGTCAATATAAACCTTGTTCAAAATGTTATGAAAAAATGTACATGTTTATACAAGGCAGGCTGCAGCAGAGCGCTGGCGTTCCACGCAGACATTCGGGTAGGGAGACGCTGGATTCTTGCACTTGGCTTATGCCCTTCCACCCCCTCCCACGGAAACAGAAGCACCCTGCCCCGGTGAGCTCAACAACCCCTCCTGTTCCCTCCTCCCCTCGGGACGTGGAGTACGGCCCAAAGCGAGCGCCGCAATCCAGCCCTGGGGAAGAGCAGGGATTAGAAACGCCCTCTTTTCTTTCCATCGGAAACGGTAACCCCTCTGGGCCAGGCCAAAGAGATGCTGCTCTGTACAGGTGGAGTTGGGAGACGTCAGCTCATCATGTCGTTGCTGTTCACGCCGTAGGTGGAGTTCTTCATGGAGTCGTTCACCTCTCGCCTGAACGCCGACAGGTTTTGGGTGAACCTAAGGAGGAAAAAAAAAAAAAAAAAAAAATCCAAACCAAAAAAAGCAGAGGAGCACATCAGAGCAGGAGGGGGCTCGTTCCACCCCCCGGTGCTTTGCTCCCCACGAGGGCTGTGGCCCCACAGCGGCGGCTCTGGCCCGCACTGACCTGTCCCTGTTCTTGGTTAGCAGGTTGCGTTCGATGCCTTCCATGAGGTTCTCAAAGCAGAGGTGCATCGCCTGCTGTTTCTCCGGGGGCTGGCTGTTCACTATACTGTTCCTCAAGTCAGAGAAATACTGGGGAAGACAAGGGAAGGAGTGGGTTAATTTTCAGCTGAATAGTCCCCTTGGCTTTGGGACAGAGAGCATGCACACCTAACAGGTTCTTGGGAAGAGTGTTACAGCCCTTCAGGTGATTTCCAGTGCCTTCGTGAATGAAAGCAAACGTGGCTCCTCCTCGGACACCCCTCCCTCAACACCCCACCTCCCCCAGTCCCTGCCCTGACACCCTTCTGCTCCGGCACTGTTCGAGCCCAGACAGCTCCTTCCAGCTGCCAAGGGGAGGGTGGGACGTTCACCTTTTCATTGAGCAGGATCAAGCCAAGCAGAGGCCGAGACATGGACCACTGGTTCCTGCAGTCCTCAAAGATGATGATATTCAGCACCGTTGACAGCATCTGCAAGAGGGAAAGTGAGGTTTCAAACCAGCCCTGCCAGCCCAGCTCCCTCCTCACCGCCTGGGCTCAGGAGCAGGGATTTGCCTTCCAGGCCTCAACGCTACAGAGCTCTCGGTGTCACGGGGCGAGAGGAGGACCTGGAGCCCCCAGGAACCGGTGAGAACTCCACTGAAGGCACACGGAGGAGGTGCTGAAAGCTGTTAGGGTATTTATTCCTGACACACTCCATCCTGCCCCAAGGCAGCCAGGGGCAAGACTGTCTCGCCTTCACTTCAACAAGGTAATAGCAAGCCTTTAGAGGATGCAGGTGCCCGGGGAGCTTCCTCGAGTCCACACTTGGGGTGTCTGCTCCCTCCCCCAGCCTCCTTAGGCTAAAGCCAGTACCCAAACCTCGCCGGTTTGGAAGATGCAGTTTCTCTTTTTATCCTCGGAAAAAAACATCTTCTGGCCCCTCCCCAACAGCCTGGGTTTCTTTGCATTTGATCTACCAGGAAGGGTGGAACAATACTCCCCGCTTTCACGTGGGAGTTGTGCTGCCACTTTGACAAGTACCGGGGAGAGGGGTTGGCTAACGGCGTCGCAAACACACCGAGCACTGCTGTTCCAAGCAGTTACAGCGAGGCGAGAGGCGTGTGAAAGTGCTTTTGTGCTTTAAGGTACGGATATCCAGATCCCAAGGCAGGGCCCTCTGGAGCACCAGAACCTCTGCGAGCAGAATCATCTGTCATTAAGTGACACAGAGGTACCCAAACTACACGGTCCGTGCAGGTGTACGCTGAGCTAAGGCTGATCTGAGCAAGTCTCAGCTCACAATCGATCCTCTGCCGCCGCACACGCTCCAGCCCCGGAGCGGAGACAAGTCCCAGCAAACTCCGTGTTGATCAGAGATGTTGTGGATGGAGGCAGACGTGCTACCAGCATGTAAATCACTCGATTATCAAATCCCCCCCCTCCCTGTGCAGAGCCCGTTCTGAAGGCAGGCACGAGCGGCTCCATCGGGCTGCAAAACCCAACTTCCACGCGGTCCCAACACGGGCGCTGCGGCAGGGATTGCTCCCGTTTGCAGATGTCTCGTTCAGCGTGGGGACCCCGCGGTGCCTGCTCGGCTGTGAGCGCACACGCACCACCTCAGTTGTTCTAGGATTTAAATAAAATCTGATTTTTTTTTTTTTTTTTTTTTAAAAAAGCAGCAGAAGAGCACACGCTCTCTGGTTGAAAATATGTTTCCCGGCTTCGTTTCTATGACTGCCAGCACGACCCATAACCGTCTCTTTAAAAAAACCCAACAGACAAAAATCTCATTTTTTTGGCTACTTCCACTCACATCGGAAATGCAAAAATGGTGTTCCCTGCACAGGGAGAACCACGGCCTTGAAGCATGACTTTGAATCAGACCTACCATGTGATGAACGTGTAGGAGGGATGCAGTACTAGCAAAAAAATCCTTTTTGCTCCTGAAAAGCCTGGGGCTCTAGAGCAGGGAGCACGCAGCCCCCGTGTTACATCATGTTAAGGAAATTCAGGGCTTATCAGGGCGTTTACCATGCCATGCCACAACAAGGCCTTTGGTCTTTACCTGCTGAATCATCTCTGGGTGCTGCTGCATAATGTGCAGGAACCGGTCGCTCTCCTGGGTCAGAGGTGTGGTCCTCTTCTTGGTGCTGCGAGACAGTTGCTTGAAGAGATAGGTGACAATGTGGTCCAAACAGGAGCAGCAGCCTGTGCAAACCATGGTGTCTGCAAGAACAGGAAAGGGGGAGACATTGGGGCACTGCCAGCATTGCCCTTGCACCCGAGCAGGCTCCCAGGGAAACACCACCAGTCCTCTGGGTCCTTTTAGGGACTTTGCAAGCAAGAACCACCTCACCCTCAACAGGTCAGCAACTTCCTCACTGACATGATTTTCTATCCTTCCTCACTGACATATTTGCTATCTCTAATGTTCCAGCTTTAACACGGGTGAAGCTCCTCCACCCACTCACAAGGTATGTCTTAACTTATCCATTAGCCTGGAATACCAGGCATTCAAAGCAACCAAAATCTCTGCCTGCTTCCAAATCAAAGCCCTGCAAGGACAACAGAGAGCAGAAGTAGTTACCTAGTGCAGTGAGGCCTTCTGAAATGGAAGAGAGAATATACATGATTACATGAGGCTCCAGACTGGCTATAAAGTTCATGTGGTCCTGGGTAAGAACTTCCAGCAAGGAATAGTATGACTGGCTGAGCTTGGGATAGTCCTGTGGAAAAAGGAAGAAAGACTTTTAAGGCCTCATGGCTAGCCCATAACCGTCAGTTAAAGCTTTCTGCTAGACCCAACCCATTCGTTAAATCACCTGAACACTGCTTACTGAATCTCCTGGAAAGAGAACAAGCCAACCTCTCTCACAGCATAACTTATGGGCCAACGTATTTTCTACCCTTCTCCCCCACCAAAAGCCTTCAAAACAGGCTCTAGCAACAATGGTCCAGCAAGTTCCCAACACTGTTATATCAAAACATTTTTCCCCACTGCTTTGCTCTTTTCTAAGCGGGGAGTGTTA